AATTACGTAAACTATTCAGTCGTTTCGGAGTCCCGGAATTGATAGTTACTGACAACGGGACACAGTTTACGTCCGCAGTCTTCTCGCAATTTTGCCGGCAGAACGGAATCTATCACGTCCGAACACCTCCATTCCATCCGCAATCAAATGGTCAAGTAGAACGCTTTGTGAGCACATTTAAAAATGCTCTAAAAAAATCCAAAGGGGAGGGGACCATCGAAGAGATCTTAGAGAGGTTCCTGCTTATTTATTGCTCTACACCGAACCCTCAGACGATTGACGGAGTCTCACCTGCGGAAGCTCTACTTGGTAGAAAATTACGAACACATTTTGATGTCATCCGTCCTACACCAGCTCTTGAGCCTCAGCGAAACCTGTCGATGAAGAAGCAGTTCAATGGGGCAAAAGACGATCGTTCACAGTGGGCCAGAAAGCAATTGCTATGGACTATCGTGGAAAACATCTTGCATGGACAGCTGGTCGGATTTTAAAAAAGAAAGGAAATGTGATTTATGAGGTGTCAGTTGGCTCAGAAGTTTGGGTACGTCATGCTAACCAACTGAAAGCTACTTCGATAGCCAGCAACGGGACTCGGCACCGAATACCCCTCGACGTTCTGTTGGACACTTTCGAAATCAAAACGCCTGGAACACACAAGTCAGTTTCTGTGCAAGCAAAGAGTGACACAACTTCGTTATTGCCAAGAAGATGGAGTAATCGAAAGTACAAGCCAGTCACTCGGTTGCAGTTGGACCCTAGCACCAGATCCTACGAATCTTCTGAAAGAGGAGGTGTTAGTGGGACATAGATGAAATTAAAGCACGACTACGTTGCTGCGCGCTGATTGGCTAAATTTCTATCCAATCAGCGCCTGATCGAAGCTTGGAGAACAGGATAGAAAATTCTCATATTATTAGCCGCATGCTGATTGGTCAAATCCAGTCCAGCCGATCACTTGAATTTTCTTCCAGAAGTTTTCTCATGTAAAGGCTATAAATAGACTAGCATTGTATTTATTCTTTGCCTTCAAGCCTTCTTGCTTTCTTTGCCTTGGCTTTCGCCATCACCTCCGGCTTCTTTTCCTTGCTATTTTGGAATACAATCCTTCCTGTTCAACCGTGTTCTGATTTGGGTTTCTTGTCCACTGTTTGTGTCAAGAATACTAAGCAATAAGATTTAGCCGGGAAATATCTTAAGCAACCGTTACAACAAGACTTGAGGTTGTGGCAGTTGTTTTGCTCAGTGATGTCTTACAGAGGAGTCTATCTTCTTTTTCTGCGAAGTGTTATACTACATTAGGAACACCTGAAAGTGGTGTAGTAGCTATCTAGCCAATCTTCTCGTTGTTGTGCATCACTACACGATGGCTGAACAGTGGAGTTAAGTAAGTTCGTCATGGAATCCAGCTGATTGGACCTCAAAATGACCGATATTGAATCTTGGTTCAAATGTCCTGCTTTACTACATGGTGAACTTGGTTCAATTACCACTTACAGCCCAGAACCTCCCCCTGACAAAATTGCGTTTAGAAAATCTGCTGGGGTTAACTTGAGTAGTATAAAATGTAACCGTTCACCTATTCTTTCTTACGAATATAATTATCTGTCGAACGAATCTGATCTATCAACAAGGGATAGAGTAACATTTATTAGTGCTGTTAATTTGATTAAATGAACAATTATTGAAGGAATTGCCGTGTTGATATTGTTTAGGGAATGATTTATATTTATATTTATGATGCATACTAGAACTGTTACTTATTCAAATCACTTGTTTTAGATTTAAACGGGGTCAAGACGCGTATCTAAACTATCAGAATAGTTATTCCTCAATCCAAACTCAGTTTGAATCCTACACCTTGTGCCAAAGGACTTCCTCAACTAAGGACATGGAATCTTGTGCTTTCGATTTATGATGCCTTTCCAAAACTAGCATGCGGGATTCAGGTACAGCTATTCATCTGACCTACCTTGTTGAAACCACGAACCGCCATGATTTACCTTTTTTTATATTTGAATACTCCACTGCTACTTTTGTGCTTTTTCTGCTGCAGGCATAGCAATGAGTAATGAGGCAGTAACAGCTCTTTGAAACTGGACTCCAGTAGAGACTCGCATGTACGGCTAAACAGGACAGCAAGAACTCGGCAAGATAGGTAAATTCATCATGTTCCCTTCGTTGTTACTGCCTGCTGTCTACTGACTCGGAACGTGATTAGGAAAAAGATCAGGTTTACATAAATCCTTCCATATTTCTTCAGGAAGCTAAGCGCTCTGATGTAGACCACGTTACCATCAGTCACCGAAACAAGCTTCATAGAATACTGCCACTTATCCTTGAGCACATTTTCAAAATCAAATGTTGTGCTTGTATGAGCACGTTTTTTGTTTACAGCTTATTGGACTTCGGACAGATACAGCAAGGAAAATTTTCAGTTTTCCACTCAACAATAAAAATTTCAAGAGCATATTTCATAAGCGGCCAGAAAAACAGTTAGACAGCCATGTAAGTGATGCTGACCTCGAGGCAGCTTGGAATGAGATCCAAGAACCATGTAAACAGCATTGATATCTGCCAGTAAGTTGATTCAGTTGTTTAGAGAGAAGCAGTGGGTTTCAGTAGGAATTTACTGAAATAATAAACGCTCGGAAACTTATTCTGTCTAGTTTCGAACACGATGAGGATCGGGGGCAGCTTCGTCAATGGCTGAAAAGAAGCTTATGCAATGATGGTTAATAGTGTTGGGTAGCAAAAGCAGGAGAGGTGTGAAAGTTGGAGGCAATAAGTAACAGTGGATAACTACTCAAACTTATCAAGGAGTCGGCTATCGGAAATCCGACTGTTAGCAATTCTGTGTCGGAGAAAGATGGAACTAATATTCATTCACAATCAAGAAGACTGAATCGATGGGCCAAACATTTTTGGGAGCAGTTCAAATATCTTTTAGCCACAGTCCAATTTATTACGATCTCCAGTCAACTTAAATGGCAAATTGATGTGAGTCATTCGAAGCCTAATGAGGCTCATAATTCTTTGGATAATTTAAGGCGAGGGAAAGCAGCAAACCCTGATGAATTGACTTTGGAGATTTTTTTGGGTGGTGGTTCATTTTCAATACACAAGTCGATTGAACTCATAGCTAGAATCTAGGAACAGGACGTGATCAAATCTGATTGGTTACAATCCTCGATGGTCCCAGTTTTTGAGAAACGACAAAAGTCCTATTGTGTAAGTCGCTGAGGAATTAGTTTACCGGAATATTAGCTTCTATACACTTTGGCAACAAACTTGATCTCGTGATTAGCAGACTCAAGAAAAACCAGGTAGTTTATGAGTCGGAGCTGGATGATTTCACCATATATTCAGGCTTCTTCAGGTCCTGCAGCATGGACTTATTTCTCGATGTCCGACATTAATTGTACTCCTAGATCTAAAGGTAGTGCTTGAATTTGTCGATCGTGAGTTTCTGTGGTAGTGTCGATCATTTAAAGGTGTACCGAAGACATTCACTGACATTGCACGGGCTCTCTACTGGAACAGTACAGGTCGCGTCATAGCGTATAGCGAACTATCGTTACAACTAATTACTTCAAAGAGTGTTCGTCAGATTTGCCCGCTTTCTTCATTCTTATTCATCTCTTCCAGATACCTACTTTCAAAAATAATATTTCGGTAGTTGACTTCATATCAAGAGATTCACTTATTGGCTTGTAATACGGAAATGATATACGTCTGTTTCTTGAAGCCACTGGCAATCTTTAGCAACAATGCTAGAATGTTTGGGACTTGATTGTTTACATGGAAATGCGGTCAGTTGTTTCTAGGTTGGTCTTTGTGCGCACCTGAACTTTTGACAAGTAGTTAAGTGGTCGGGTGTTTCGACCACTCCATTTATCTTCGCTGTCTCATCGACCCTAATGTTTGCGTGTCTGACTAATGCAGGTAGGTCGGTTGGCTTTCGTCCACTTGTTTCCCTTATGGCGTAGTTGAGATAACCATCTACTGATTGAAGGATGAATTCTTAGTACACCAATTCACTCCGCTCCACTTTTGTGGGTGTGAAACATCACCTTTATGAATAGAAGACATTCTTAGGTTACCATTGTATGATGACTGGTGTCTTAGAATCATCGTTTGAGTATTCCCGCACCATCAAGCAAACGATACTGGTGTTAGGAAAAGAGTACTAGGAAAGAGTGGCAGGTTAACTGATGAAGCAGAATATCTTAATCATTTGAGGTGGTTGGGACATGTGTCACG